ACACACACACACACAACAACAACACACACAGTAACAACACACATAACACAACACACACATCACACAGACACACACAACACAGTAACCACACACACAGTAAACACACACACCAGAGAACACACAGTACACAACACACACACACAGTAACACACAGTAACACACACACACACACACACAAGACACACAACACAAAACACCACACACACAGACACAAAACACAACACAGAACACACACAACAACACCACACACACACTAACACACACACAGTAACACACACAGCACACAGACACACACAGTAACACACACACACCAACACACACACACACAGAACACAACCCACACACAACACGTAACAAACACACACACAACACACTGTAACACCACCAAACACTGGTAACACACACACTGTAACACACAACCACACAGTAACACACACACACACACACTGTAACACACACACACCACTGCTAACACACACACAACACACACACACACACACAGACACACACACAGTAACACCCATACCACACCACACACCCACACACAAGACACACAACAGTAAAAACAGAACACCACACACACACAACACACAGTAACACACACACAGTAACACACAACACAGTAACACACACACACACCACACACACACACCACACACAGTAACACAACACACAGTACACACAACACACAATAACACACACAACACACACACACAACACCACAACACAACCACACACCAGTAAACACACATAACACACACACACAGTAACAACACACACACACACCACACACACACACATAAACAAACTCAAATGTTTACAGAACTCCATCCATTTACACCGGAACCTTTCTAACTGAGTTTTGTTCCTACCGGACGGTTTACGGACGCACCGTTGCCATTGGATGCAGCAGCTTCCCCACATGCTAACGATGCTAAACGATGCTAACAGCTGTTAAACTGTGACAGGAAACGGGAGAAAACGACTCACACCTCACCGTTTATATCGTGACGTCGTTAACGGTTGGAAAACATTGACGTCAAGCGGCGGTAAACTTCTAGTGACGTCATTATCTCTGAGTAGCGGCGCTAACGGTTAGCGTTCGCTCGGCGGATAGAAAACCGTTAAAATGTGTAAATGCGAAAGTACGGGAGCGACAGGACAACAGGGAGGAGGTCAAGCAGCGCGAGGGAGTCAGAGCACAGATCAAGATCAATGATAATCAAGACAATAATATCAATAATGATCAATGAACAGAAATAACTGCAGTTACTCTCAAACACAAACTGATTTAAACTGAACAATAATGATCATCTGCTGATTATTGATCCCCCCCCCCCCCCCCCCCAAAAAATTTTTTGGAAAACTTGATGACTGATTGATCCATGATCTGAGTTGATGACGTGATTCACATTGACTGATTGATTGATTGACTTACTGGACTGAATTGATTGATTGACTGATTGATTACTGATGACTGATTGATGATGACTGACTGATGATGACTGATGATTGACTGACTGATGATTGACTGACTGATTGATTTGATTGATTGATTAGACTGACTGATCGGAATTGATTGGACCTGACTGATTGACTGACTTCGATTGATGATTGACTGACTGATATTCAGACTGGTCTCGCTGACCCTGTGACCTGATCCAGTTCTTACCCAGCTCTCGACCTGGTTTTCGTCCGGTGTGCTTCCAGCTTGGATTCCTCAGGTGTTTAAGTATGGACCTGGTTCTGATCCGGTCCTGGTTTCGGACGCCATGTCGGACTGTGACCAGGCTGCAGTAGAGGAGCAGACGGCTTGCAGAGAACCTCCGGTCCCGGTCCCGGTCCCGGTCGCCCCCCCCTGGCAGAGAAGGCCCTGTCGGAGGCCTTCTCCCGGCTGCGGTACCGGGACACGTCCCTGCTGGTCTGGCAGCAGCAGCAGCAGGACCTGCAGGCGGCGCCCCCCCCCACCTACCTGAACCGCAGCCAGTCGGCCTGGTACAGCAGCTTCGGGAACCAGGCCGTGCTGGTCCGGGACAAGAGGGGCCTGGAGGACGCAGAGGGACGGTCCAGGATCTGCAGCGTGATGTAGACCAGAACCAGAACCCTGCAGAGACCAGTTTGATCCAGATTCAGACAGACTCCATTTAAAGGAAAAGAACATCTGGATCAAATGAAGCCTCGTTGTTGTTATTGTTGTTATTATT